TTTTTTTAATTTCTTTATGAATTTTATGTCAATGAACAAAACTCAAGTATCTGTAGTACTTAATCGATGTAAACAAAGGTCCAATACTTTTGTTGTCATACCAGTTAGGTACCGAGGGCAGGTGAAGTCCCAAATGACACTGGCTCGTAACAAATAACAAAAGAAAAAAGAACAAAAGCAAAACTGAATCACATTGTAAGGCTATTGATACAAAGGTAACAAAATTCAATCAATAAATATATGGAGCAGACGGCAGGTAAAATAGCAAACAATGGAAGAGAAAGAAAGTGAAGTCTAACCGATCCAAAAGGCATTCATATTCTCAATCTTGATGCTTTCTTTCTCCTCTTTCCACCTTCAGTAATTTCTACAAGATAATGATAACTAACAACGGTATTCCAAAACCAGTTGAGCCATGGCCAGGTAATTTTACGACATTTTATCTTTATGCCGTTTTTTCTTGTTCGAGGTCAGTATGAGGTACACCATTGCCACTCCCGGCTGACCTTTGTTCAGGACTCCACACATCCTTTGAGACCAATGGAGATGGTTTTATGAGTGTCAAGGTGTCATCCTTGTCAAACTCTTCACCGGAATCCTCAGATGAGTAAGCATATCTAGCAAGAAGAATTTTGATTTAAATTTAAAGAAATTCACGAAAAGGGACACCTATATAGCACGCAAATGAGAATCAGAGGCGAGCAAGTAGCCTATTGTCATCATTATTAAAAACTGAAAACGGAAAAGAAGATATATCCTCGATTTATCGTCATTGGTTCAGGCCTATGGTGCTATTCCATGATATTCGCTCAAGCATAATAACCATCATTTTATTCCACGAATGCAAACAGAAAAGAAGACGTTATCCTCAATTCATCGTCATCGGTTCTATTCCATGAGTCGTGAGTTGCTCAGAACAAGAAAGTTTTATTGGAGCTAATTGGTCTGGACTGCCTATGAAAACATTGACAATAGCAACAATGAATGTAAATGATAATAGACCTAGTGTTTATACTCTAGTGGAATAACTGGAAAACTTGAATAGCGACGAAAAAACATACTAATGAAAAGTACGTGGATGCCGACAGAGGTTAGGTTTTAGAAAAAATAAAAAAATACATGTGCATTTAATTACACACTCAATCTGAAAAGATGTTTACCGCATTGAGTTCTGCGATGGGGCCCAAAGAGAACATATGACGCACAAGAGAGAAAACGACACGACTTGCCAGAAGGCTGGAATTATCCAAGCATTCTGCCATTGCTCATTGTACACATCATTTGACTTGAAATAAAGCTGTAATATCCAAGGTCATAATGTCATAACTCAACTCATACCATACAAAAACCCCGACATACACAATAAAAGATGATCATCAATTTTTGTAGTCATTCCTTCCAGAATCATGCTGAACACACACATAAGTTCTTTCATTTATCATCAACGACAGCGTGAATACATTCAGAAATTATGTTGAGAATTTTTATAGCAAACAGCTTTCAGCACTCTGTATTCACAATATCATTCATTTAAAAGATCTTTTAACATGTAAATCTTTTTCTTATACATGTGATGTGATGTAATTGGATTTTGTTGCATCTTTTTTTAAGCTCATTATGATTTAGTCTGGTAACATATACATGATGTTGAGAATAAGTCACATCACCTCATAGCAAATCCAGCCAATGGACACGACAACTGCAACGACTAATGCATTTGTGAACTTCCTGTAGATATCTAACTTGGCAATCATTCTCCTAGCCTGTTACACCAAGTAAACAAATTATTCATGCAGGTAGTTTCTAAAAAGCGAACTTCAATCGGCAATACTCAGTACTCCTACTGCAGATGCACGAACATGAAATGACCACTATCTTGGACAGGCATGGCAAAGTTGAAGTAATTATAACTTGAGCATACGAGAAACAAAATTTATTGGGTCCACAAAATGAACCAGGAAGGAATATAATAGGCTAACAAATCACTCACAATATATGAATCACCAAAAAAAAAAAAAAAGAATATTTCTCTAGAATGGTGATCAACAGGCACAAGTCAAATAACATCCCATAATATGCTCGTCATGTAAAATATTTCATTTTCCCATTTTAAATCTCAGTATTCCAACTTCTAACTACATTCAGAAATTGATGATTAGTAAATCTACATAAACTCTATACAAAGTAGAAAAAACTTTCATCTTAGTATATAACATTACAAACATTTAAAGAAAGTGAAATGGCTACCTGAAGCTTGTTCAAAGTTGAAGAGAGGGACGTAAATATCCAGAGAATGAAAAAAGCATCCAAAATCGCCACTGGAAGCACAAAAAACAACCTTGCCTTTCCTGAGAGATCACTGACTGCACCAACATTTTCAATTATCTCAAGAACTTCAGACGCGACAAAGAATGTCCCCCCAAGCAAAACAACCTTCGACGTAAGACCACCCAACGTGGGCCTAACCACACCATAACCCATAGATACAATTAAAATAATCAGTCGCGACACAGTACGTTTCACTGTCCCAAACGTGACTGCCCATAGAGTGGTCCCTGTCGGCCTGACTCCAGTCTCATTGAACTCAGCATAGTCAAAGTACCAAAAAGCCATCTCAAACATACCCAAAGTAATCACGAGAGTAATACAGTTCTGCAGGGGAAGAACCTCTTTCCAGAACCTCGCGTACTGGGAAAACCAGAATATCCCGAGCAGCACAAATGCAAGGGACATGAACCCGTAAAATTTCATGAAGGGAGCCATCCGGCCAGGCAAGTAACCTGATGCGTTTTTCCAGACAGTTTTGCCCTCGACATAAATCTTCTTTAGCCTAGGGTCACAGTGAATAAAGTAAAGGTTGTACATTCCAGTGTTAGTGATCGGTATGGACCTCGGTGGCAGGGTGGTCTCCAATGCGTCAATTTCAAATGAGGCACCATATATTTGAGGCCATCCTGGATTGTTGGGAGATGGGCGGTGGATGACCTCACCTTGCTTGCAGACTCCGAGTTTCGCGAGATCTGATGTGCAGCATACAGCTCGTTGACCTCCATATGCCGAGCCTCCAATCAATTCTCGGTCGTCAACCTCGAACACGACTGCATGAATCGGTTCCGAGCTGAAGTTAGAGAGCTCCAGAGGCCTCCGGAATGTGATCTTTTCAAATCTGGTTGACAAGAAAGGAAGATTAGCAATATTTCTCAGAATAAAGTATGATAACCTTAGGAATCGGGACTAATCCTAGACAAATTGACCAGGGAAGGCATGTAAATTAAAACTATGAAAGAAAGAAAAAAAATTCTGTGTATCTATTTTCTTCACCCAAATTATTTTGTTTGTCCAAGTTATCAGTGATGCAAGAACATAGTTTGTGGAAACATCGATGGTTCAGCATTTTTCATGCCAAATCACTGCATCATTACGGTTGTTAAAAGGGGAAAAATCATTTTGAAGCTAATCCTATCAACATCAAGAATATTGTCAATCCCTAGCAGCAGTTATAGTAACAATAGAAACTGTTCATTAATTTAAAGGTTTAACCTAAATTAGGTTGAAGCTCGCTGAGTATATAATACATCAATGTCGGTGGTTATCGTGTCATTGCTTAAATGGATCCCTGGAAGCAACTAGGCAAGTATTCATGAATAAGCTTCTAAACAAAAAATGCTTCAACATTTGTGATAATCAGAATTCTAAAGAGAATGAAATAAGAATAGAGAAAAAAAAATTATTAATAACAGAGAATGATCCCAGTTATTTGGAGTAACAAATATTACTTCCAAATCAAATGGATATCCATAGAGCACACCTATTTCACACATTGGATTTGAATACCACAATCGAAAACCACGCACTGCCAGAAACACCAACAGACCAGTAACAGGGAAAGCTGAAGTGCACTAAAAACCGAAATATAATAGATTGTAGGATAGATGAAGCGGAGAAGTACAAATATTAAAAGTGGCGAAATTCACCGAATAAATGAGTTTCCGGGGGACGACTCGTTGAGCACAGGTGCGGAAGAGTAAATGCCCTCGCTTCCGCCGTGAACAATGAAGGCGTTTCCTTTCCCGACGAACTTCTCGCCGGCGTACTCATGCACCGACGCCTCAGTCCGGGGAGCGCAGAGAAGCAGCAGCGCTGCAGCCAGGGGCAGAATTGTCAATACGGAGCTCAACCGCAACATTGCTGCTGCGTGCAACTGATTCGAGCTCAAGCGAGTGGATCTGCAGAGAGAGAGAGAGAGAGAGAGAGAGAGAGAGAGATCTGACGCTGAAACTGTGATCACGGAAAGAGCAGAGAGCGGAGGGAGTGCACTGATCCGGTGTGAGCGAGTGCACTACTGCACTTAACAAAAACTCTACTCAAAGATTTTGCTTCTATTAGATTGTAAACGAATCAAAGGTACGCTCCCAACTCGGTTTAATCGTGTTTTTCTTTGTTTAATTTAACAAGTCGAGCTTGTTTGAGAATAAGCTTACAAGTTGATTAAACGAGTTGAATCGAATTTTTATAAGCTTAAATAATTCAAACTCGAGTCAGGTAAACGAGGTTGAACTTCAACTGGAGGTATTCGGCTCAGCTCGACTCGAATAACACTTCTAATCATCATGTTGTAAATCCTAATTTTCTTTTAAATTAATAGGGTAAGTTAGATTTCAAATTAGCATGGTGAGCCATTAATTAAAAAAAGAAAATTACAACTAAAAGACACCCCACAAATCATTCATTTGTCTCTCCCCTACTATATTTGAATTCTAATGGAAATGTATTTAAGTTAATCGCTGTTATGCACCAAGGTCAAGTGCGCTGACGAGCCATTGTTTCGAGCGTGTAAGGATCGGGCTTAAATTGTTATGTCATGCTCAATGCTTCATGAGACATTAGTTTGGGCATGTGAGGCGGGCGGAACTGAGCCATTCCAGTGCCCCGTGAGACATTGCATCAGACATGTGAGACTAACTGGGTTGTAGTATGATTTCTTTCCGAGACCTATGATATTTGTAGAACTTTAGAAACAATTTCGAACTTTTGCATGTATGAATGTATAAATGATATTATCCTTGTCTTTTTAATAAGTAAACGTTGGTTTTGGGATTGCATATTCATAGAGATTTCATGTAGTAGAAGAGTGGGTGTGACATAACATTATTCTACTATTTTTAGTTTTTTTTTTTTTTTTTTTTTTTTTTTTTTTTTTTTTTTTTTTGTTTTTTGTTTTATGTTTGTAATTCTCCACTATTGAAGTGCTTGATTGTCCCGTTGATATGGTACATCATTCCACCCATTGAAGTTCGTGTAGCTCGAAGGTAGATCGATTGGTTGAACGCAGTTGAACATCTCAGTTAGAGCTTGGGAAGGACACTACCTTGGATAACTTGAAACCAGACTCAGGAAGATCGAGAACATCATCAGGTCAAGCTAAGACTCTACGATAGTGGTCAACATGGAACTAGAGGGGCCAGGTGACGACCTCATAGACAACGCTATGCCCAATAAGGCCGGATTAGTCAGAGGATAGGTGACCGAGTTGATTAGATCAGTCAAGCAAATAATAACCACCTAAGAAGTAGAGTAGTGTGAATGCAAATAGATAAGAATAGTGTGAACACGATTGGATAAGGATAATACTTGGGCAGCAAGAATGCTCAGGTAACAAGATTGGACAGATCTTTGGCAACACAGGTACCTGGGCAACAAGATCGGGCAGATCTTGGACAACAAAATCAAGCAGATCTTGGGCAACACGAGTACTTTAGCCGCAAGATCATGCAGATCATGGGCAACAAGGTAATGATTCTATATAAGGGTGAGGGATGACTATCACTTCTTCTTCTCTTTCTGAATATTCTAGGCTATTATATACATACACTTCCACCCCCAAAAAATGACTTGGGCGTCAAAGCTTTTTCGTCGGGATAACTTCGGCATTGTTTTGACGGACATTCTAGCTATTCAGGAATTCAAGCGACGTTGGATTGGATCGAGGTTATTGTACACACCATTTGACATCGTCTGTGTGAACTTTGTTCAAAAACCATCAAACACCACTCATAGCGAACGACGATACCCGAAAACTTGGAAACCCATTTGTGACGATGTATGATTGTCCAATTGCCCCTTAGGAATTGGCTCACCACCAAATTTTTCAAAGTCTATTTTGACGCCAATTATTCCAATCCCCAACCTGTCGGGGATCGAAAGCGCTCTGGTGTCCACAACCGTAACTAGCTACCCGACTGGTCAACTATAAGGTAAATCGGGTCGGGTGCTACGATGAGATCAGTCAACTATTTCAGTTGGTTTCTAGCTATAATACACCTATCATTTCAGGGGGAAGAAAAAGGCCAAGTTCAAACCAAATTATTATTATGTTAATTTCCTCGTCTTTTTTTTTTTTTTGTGATTTTCGACTAACCTTCTTCTTAACATTTCAAATTTAGTTTTATATATTAATAGAACATTCCCACGTGGAATTACCAAAAACTTCTAAAAATGAACACCAAAACACTAGACATCGAAATATTTCCACTAGTTTAACCAGATCAGTAAGAAGATGGAGATATAGGCACACAGACCATTACACGAAAGAGTAGAAAAACCAATCTAATTGTAGTACTAAGTTTTTGGTGAATGTTACATGAGATTCTTGAGACCGGCAATAAAAACTACAGGTCCCATACGAGTAGGTTTCCGACAATTCTTCTTTCACGTTAATATTTTTCAGGCAAGCCATCGAGAACAAACAATTAAAAATTTGGATTTTCCCACCCACTAATGGACATGTACACCGTCAATCCATGTCGAGAAAATCCATTCTCTTTTTCATTGTGCCCTTGAGCTCCGAAGCATCCCTTTCGGCCTTTTGTGCCTAAAAATGAAGAAAGCAAAAATATTATCACGTTCATATATAATCATATATAAAGATGGTGACAACATGAAGAACTTATAGATCTTTATCCCAAGAGGTTCATAGGCTTTAGGGGGTGCATTTACAGCTTACCCATCATAAATCTGTTTCAAGAATGCATAAACTCCTAATATTGGTTTGGTAAAGTTCATATCTAATGAGCAATTTTACGGAAGCATATAAGATGATTTCTAGAAGATTTTCTCTTTGACATAATAGTAACAATAGCAACATCATACAGATTAAATTGAATGAACTATGGAACTCGTATTACTGACATTTTATAAGCTTCATTATCTTATTTGGATGCAACACATCAAGAAGTCATATTCGAAACAAGATCTAACAACCTGCTAGTTCTGAAAACATCATATAACATGTAGGAGTTTAACAATGTTCTAAACATACTTGGCCAAACACATTCTCAGCCCAATTTTACACATAGTGCACACCGAATTGAAAAAAAAAATGAAAAATGAACAGAAAAGGAAGCTTTCAAATTACAAATACTCTTACATGCACACACACACACACACACATACATATATATATATATATATTTTATTTATAATACAACCTACTGAGAGATGTCTTGAAAATAAACAAAGATCTAAGTCGGGTATTTTTAATTGTAGAAGATAACCACATTTATTTACTTTGTTCTTTCATAAATTAGGTTGAACCTCAAGGGTAACTTTACTTATTTGTCATAACTAAGAGTGCAAAACCAATATCACAAGTAGAAAACCAAAATATTGAGCTTTTACCCTCTTTATCTCTGCTACTTCCACACGAGTCATATGAGAGGGGAGCTCCTCCTTCTCCAAGTCCTGACGAATCATAAAGTTCACATCTTATGTAGATATATGATAAAAAAAAAAAAAAAAAAAAAAAAAAAAAAAGAATTTCACAAAGCTTAAGTTCCCACTAAATAAAACACATACCAGCTCCCCAATCAAGACAACATTTTCCCCACGGATTACATACAAACCTAATGGTATGTCGCAATATAGATCACCAACAATAACACGCTCACATGCACCTTCTAGAACAGCATTAGCTACACGAAATAGCAAAATTATGTTACAGAAACATCAAACAATTAAGAAGAGTGCAATTAAAGAGAATTATATCGCAAATTATATTACCAAATTGATCAAAGGAACGAAGTATCCCCAGTAGTTTCCGGCCATCTCGGAGTAATACAAGAAGTTTTTCTGGATTGGAAAAAGAAAATATTTTGAATAAGTATGCAACGAACTTGATGACGGAAAAGTGTTAAGTATCCATAGAAAATGATAGTAAAAAACTAGTATGTTTTATTATTAAATAAACTTCAACTACCAGCTAGACCACAAATACAGCAACATTACAAGGATTCAGGATAGGCGATTGGGTACAAGTCATTTTTTATAGTGGAACACTGAATATTTTTTTTTTTTTTTTCCAAAGCAAGTACTATTCATCAATTCCTATTTTTTTCACCTCAATATTATAAACTGGATTACAAAAATAACAGTCAATCATTATTCATTACTACATCATTTCCAACAAATTTCATAATTATCCCCCAACTATATTTAACTATTTTTCAATCATATCAACTCTAATCATTACATTTTACATCATATATTCATTCACAATCTAAATATTATTTCAATCTTCAACCAAAAAAAAAAATTGAACTTGTTCTCACAACTCTTCCACTGAGATTTAAA